AAAGATATGAAGCAGCACAACTGTTTTCAACATTGATAATATTAAGAAATGTTTCTTGTCAGCTTATCAGCATATTAGAATGATTTCTGAAGGATCATGTGACACTGAAAACTGGAGTAATTATGCTGATAATTCAGCTTTGCATCACAGGAATAAATTACATTTTAAAATATATTCATATAGTAACATGTACAGTTGTTCAATGTACAGTTTTAAAGTAGCTTCCTACACTGACAAGAACTAATTATCTTGTATGTACTGGTAAAAGTGACAGAACACAATACTGATGACTTCTGCCAGCCGCAAATAACAGAAAGAGCAAGTCTGACCCTGAAAAGATAAAGAAAAGAGCACTGAGGAAAAAAAAAAAATCAAGCACAGTGCTTGTCAAACAGACACTTCCAGCAGCAAAGACTGCTCATATCCTTCAGTCTGCTACTAGAAATCATCAAAAAGGCTTTTGGGTATGATCACACAAGCACAGAAACTCTCATTCAGGTGAAGTTGGTATGCTCTGGGAGTCATTAACACAGACTTTGTGTTCGTCTTTTTAAGGTACTGGAACTAGGGATGTAAATTTTCGATCATTTCCATGATCGATCGTCGTTTAAATTAATTAATCTGTGCTGCGCAGTCAGTGAACCGCTTCCATCGGCGCTGCTGCAGCAAAACACACTGTTGCTCACATGAAACATGAAACATTATTATGTGAGTATTATGACCAGTACTTACTTTGATCCTGCTGGATCCTGTTCCGGAAAAAGTCAGATTTTGAATTTTTGCGTTGCGGTAGGCCTATTTGTTTTTAAAAATCCGACATTTACAGTGCATTAGATCGTGACAGTGCATGCCTGCATGCATACGAGACGGAGCGAGCGCGGGTTTATTTGTACATTATGAGTGAATGATGATGTATTTATATACCGTCACGTCACTCACAGCCGCTCGCACGTGTTTTGCGCATGAGCCGCACGCAGCCCAAAATTAAACGACTTAATCGACCATGATAGCTTTAATTGATTGCACCTCTTATCGACAATTAATCGATCATCGATTAATCGTTGACATCCCTAACTGGAACCAAAAGCAACATCTGCTATAATAGCTAGTTCATTAGGAAAGCTGTTGGTATTGCTTTTTGAGCAATATTTCAACCTTATCAGGGCCATCTTTAAATTTATCACTGAGCTATTGAACTATATTTCTCTGCATACAGATAAGGCCAATCAAAGAGACCTAGACAGAAATCCAGACTCTTTTCAGGCCTGAGATGAGTTCATTTATGTGACAAAGTTTGGATAGATGTCCCAGTATCCTTACTATCCTTTTCCATAAACATTATATTTTAAGCTTTTTGTTTGTATCCTGTGTGTATGCCACCTTAGAGCAACTCTTAAACCATAATCTTCATTGCCATCATTTATCTACACCATAAGACCTCCAACATACAGTAAGCCACTAACTACACCCTAAAGACCTTACTAAGGACGCTCACAATAAGAAAGCTCTCAGACCTTTGTGATGTTTATGAATTCCCATAAAGGAGTGTTACATCTGTGCAGTGTCTTGATGAAGAGTTTCCCTCAACTCCAATCAATCTTCCCAATCCTGCAGAACCTGGTGGAGCTTGGCACTA